ACGGCGGCTCACTGGGCGCCCAGGAAGGTCGAGCTGTTGAAGCTCGCGCCGAGGCAGCCGCAGAGATGGTAGCTTCGAGCGGTCATTCACCGGAAGCTAGAGTAGTGACCCCAAGGGTGGCCGGCAAGCGAGGGACTCACGGAATAGTCAAACCTTCAAGAGACGCAGGACGGTTTCACGCTTGAATGAGTATGTACGTCAGGGGTATTCGATTGCCTCGCACGGAGACTGGATAAATTATAGCATTGAGATTGAGCTAAAATAATGGCTATAAATCACGTCAAACATCCTTTACGCAGGTCACAGTTCATCCCATCATTTCCATCAGAGCCCGGACATCTCATCTCCCTCCTCCTATCGCCCACTTCCCTCACATACTCCACCCAGGCCACGCCTCATTCATACACAAAACGGCATCGATTTGACGGTCGGCGGCCGGCGGGGCGGGCCCCTTTGTGCCGCGCCGGGTCACACTGGCCTGGGGGCGGGGGAGGGGGAGGGGGGCGGCGAGCTATCGATTGGTTCGGGCGGTGGCGCGCGCACTGGAGGGGGGGGGGGGGGGTCCGCCCGTGCCGCCACCGCTCTCAGTTCCTGGAACGGGGGGCGTGGGGGTCTAGTGAACCCTCCTGTGACCTCAGGGAACCTTGCAGTGACCTCGATGACCCTCACGGTAACCTAAGTGACCTCCGAGGAACACCCTGACCTTCTGTGACCCCAATAATCCTCTGTGAACTCCGGAACACCTAAATGCTCTTTCCCTCCATTGAGCGGCAAATATATCCTTAACAGGCCCAGAGAGCGGCCGACGCGGCCGAAAGCTCAGGCTGGAGCGGCTGGAAAGCTATGCCTTCTGTCCCTTGAAGCTATAAGCAGCCCAGTCTTCAATGACAACATTCAAGTGATTTGACTGCAATGAGCAATCCATCGATCAAATGTTCTTCGAACACCCAACCAATAGCCTCACAATCGAACTCACAGACTCGCGAAATGAAACCCCAAATGACCTCCTCGACATTCCAACCAATGGGTCAAACATCCGCACCGGTCATCGTCGTGAGCCGCTGGGTCACTGGAAGGTCATATGGGGCCACCGCGGGGGTCCAGTTCACTGCAGGGGGTCGACTGAGGCTGGCAGGGGTGAACAGGTCACCTCCACGGAGACCGTTCTGAGGAGAAGTGCAGCATTACGAAATGAAAGTCCAGAGTAACCCCGGAAATGCTCGCCGTCCCAATGAGATTTCTTCCCAAGGAACAGCCATTTCAGCCTTTTTATTTAAATCCAACGCTCGGAGAAATCGCGCTCATAACGAGAGACCTGCTGAGTCACTGACTTCCCTAGAATAAGCATTTATGCATCTTCCGAGAAATTCCACAAACTTCGCAGGGCCAAGATCCTACAACACCGCTCTAAGTGCGTTCCAGGATACATATCGAAGCCCTTGTCCGATCAACAATGACCGCACATTATACGCAAAGTTTTCTTTTACATAAAACATCTTCCCTGAACAAACCTCTTAAACTGACTCGGCAGGATAAGCCGATGTGGCCCCGGGCCCCAGATCACCCAAGTTTCGCGATGCTGGTTGTTACATCGTGAACAGTTGCAGCCCCGGGCTGAACCTTTCGCGAACGAATATACTCCCCTTGGCCACTGCGTTTACTTTAATTAGCATTTCATCAGGGAATACTGTCGGTAGCTGCCTTGGGAGCTGTAACACCGCAGTAGAGCCGGTCTCGCAGGAAGCAGAATTCCGGATGTAGCCTGAGCAAGGGCTAGCTGCTATGAGCACGCACTGCGCAATAACGCTGCTGTAGCGAATAAATGGAACTCTTGGGCTCGGGTTATGAGATCACTGCAACAGGAGATAAGCACAAAGAGAGAACTAGGGAATATCTTCACAATTTGCAGGCACTTAGGCAATCTCCTTGGAACCCAAGGCAAAATCAGCTTCATCAATTGGATTCTTTTCGCTCGGCACTTTACTCTTGAAAGGATCTAATGCATTCTTGCACCACTTTCCGTTCATGGCCTCTACCAAGTGTCGCCATTTCCACCAAATATATCCAAGTGTCACCCATCATATCCCACCCCTTCCCCATCCCCGCCGACCTCGTCCGACCCTTCCAGTGCCATGTAGCACCGCCCCAGCCGATGGCCTCTTCATCTGACCCCCCCCCCCCCCTCCGGGGATAACTGGGCCTCGAGTTGAGTAAGTGCCCCGCGGTGCCGCACCACTTTCCACACAACTCGCCCAGTTCCGGGTCCGCTTTCCGAGCTCTGGGCCGGGGCAGTCGGCGACGCGTGGCCTGGGAGAGAGAGAGGGAGAGGGGTTCTGCTCTGCCGAGAGGAGGAGCTAAGGGATCCCCGGAGGGTGTCTGATGTGATCGGATAAAACCAAATCAGGAGACTGCAGTCTGCAGCTGCTCGAATTCGAGTCGAACACCCTTTTCAGTCGATTGGGTTGTTATATCCCCATTTCCCACATCGACTGAAATGTGTTTTGACGTAGTCAGCTGGCGACACAGGGCACAAGACACTGAACAAATGCAAAGGATAAGACGAAGACTGTTCAGCAAGAGACCGATAAGGTTGCTATCTGCTGGTCGTAGCTGCTATTCCACCGCTGCTATTGAACTTTTAAAGGCAGCCATCAACGTGAGCTATAAGATTCGCCATTGAAGCAGTCATGACCAGCAACCATCCCAGCAGTAGCCAGTAATCGTAACCGTGCCGCTCGTAGCCATGACAGTGCCGGCCGTAGCGGTGGACGTGCGGCCGTATCCACGTAGCCGTAGCCGTGCCGTCCGTATCCACGGTCGGCGGCCTCGCTAAATAAACGCCGCCTCTCGACCGACCAAACAGCAGGGGGTGTTTATACAGGGAAGATACCGCCCGGTCGAGGGCCGGAGGGTCAGATAAACCCCACAGACTGGCCTGCAGAGGGGGCTGGCTCAGAGCGCCGGTAGGGGCCCGCGGTACAACCAGAGCCTCTGGTGTTATACATGGTAGTAGGAGAATGGACCGGAGTGTCCTATCGCTCCCTGACACCCTGGTGGCACAACCTGGCCGCTTGATGTCAGATCAAGATCCATTGATGGTCACTAGTTACGATCCAGTTTAAATGAAAACACATTGCGTGGGTACTTTTGTCCACAAGAGTCCACAAGGTTGTAGCTGTATGGAAATAACTAACCCTTGCAGTCGTGCAAGTGACATCGCGCACTCTCCACACAAGTATACCGCTGTTTTCGAACTCATTTATCCAAGTCGTTTATGCCACCAGCAGATAATTTCTCATCTAAATCTGTTCAGCGATTAACAGTGTTGATGTTAACACCAAGGACCTCCCAAAGCCAAACGAACCACAATCTGTAACTGCCCTAATGATGATAAACGCCACTGACCTCAAAACTCACCGGCCACTTGGGGCCATAATTTCACCGTGAAAAATAAACAAAAAGCCCATATGATCAACTGCGTTTTAACGGCCCAATTGCGTTGTGAGGGACGAAGCGTGCAGAGCTCGGTTTTAGTTCTGTAAATTAGCGCAGCTTGACTCTGGGCACGGGCCAAATATGGTCACTAGTGCGGCGGGCTAGCGTGCCTGTGATCTAGTTTCGGAGCGGGAGGTTCAGAGCGCTAACAAACAGGTTAGGAGACAGGGAGAGGGAGAGGGAGAGGGAGAGGGAGAGGGAGAGAGAGAGAGAGAGAGAGAGAGAGAGAGAGAGAGAGAGAGAGAGAGAGAGAGAGGGAGGGAGGGAGGGAGGGAGGGAGGGAGGGAGGGAGGGAGGGAGGGAGGGAGAGAGTCGCGACAGTTTCTGTCTGCACGGTTTAAACGGCCGATACGTGTCCGTGCATAAACAGAGAACTCATTGCAGACAGAGGGGGAGAGGAGGGGGAGGGAGGAGGGATCCGCAATGCAGAGGTGGGTACTGGGAAGGTCAATGGGTCAGTATACTGGATATGGAGGTCGCCCTTATGGTGTGAGGTGACAGGCGGACACAGTCAATAATGACCAATCCGTCAAGCCAAGCATCACCTGAGCCAAGAAAACGTACCTTACCATAACATCACGAACAGATGATACTCCCGTTAGCTTACAAAACATCCCTCTCGTATTCTGATTACAGCTGGGATCCTACTTCTCTTTGACACGACTGGTATGGCACGAAACGCTCCCCAAACTCTGCCCCAGAAAGTCCGTGGGCTCTCTCAATCCCATGGACAATGTCCAACACCCCCCCCCCCCCTACACACTAGTCCTAATCAAACCACCTCGTCCAGTCCCAGTGTCCTGTCGCCAAATGTCTCTCTGCCTCTGGTGTCTCCCTTTGTCTCTGTGGCGTCTCGTTAGGTCGCTGATAGTGGCCGGGACATAGAGGCGGCACTCTGATCAGATCTACCCTGGTTGGACACGCCCATCGGAGAGGGGGGGGGGGGGTGGCGGATTAGATGTGTTCAGTCCTTACCTCCCTTCCTCGTGTGTTTGGCGAAGGGGAGGGGGACTCAAGCTGGATGGCTCAAGCTACAAGCCTCCTAAATCTTTTCCAACCCACTCCTGTCTCTATCTCTAATCACTCCGCTGTTCCGCTCTACCCCAATCCCTCCGCAGCGGCTGACACCGACTATGTGATCAGCTAGCTCTTTTCCAGGTGCGCCTGAGGCTGACAAAATCCCAGGGCACTGACGGGGGTTCCCCAGATGATTGACATGATCATTGATCGTAGCCCTAGGGCAGCTTAGAGACTGCTTACGATAATGGCAGCTTTAGCGATATTTCCCAGATGAAAAACCAAAGAGGCGAAACATTATTGAGCACCTCACTTGTGACGGTAAGAAGCTTAGTGGTGAATGCATTTTTACAATGAAAATATTGTCTTTGGTCCATCATGTTTTTAAAGTTACCTATGTGCTGCCCATCTAGTTTCTCTCGTTCCCTATTTCACATCGACTCTCCTTACGATTCCTAAATCAAACCCCACCATTCCCCATGCCTTACCTTCATGCCGTCGGCGAGCATCTGAGCGACGTGCAGACGAGAGATGGCGTCATCCTTCTCCAGGGAGCCCAGACTGGAGCTGGAGCTGTGGTACGACTGGCGGTAGCTGCTGCCAGACTCGTACGACTGGCCGGACAGTCTGAACGGAGCGAAGGGGGAGGGGGGGAGGGTCAGAGGGGGGTACAGTTAGCTGGGCCGAGAGGGTGCGGTGTGCAGGGCGGATGTGGACCTAGTATCAGACGGGTGGAGGAAGAACGCTGTAAATGGGGCTGAATGCATGAATAACTACGAAGTGAAACAGACAAAGAGGTGCAGTTAGATAGACAGTAGGGGATGTTGTGAGGCAGGGAGCGATGGGGTACGCGTTTTAAACATCATAAAATGAGTCAATCCAGACAATCAAGAACAATAAGTGAGACAATGTGAAAGTCACGAATTCCGTCGTCTAGAACGAAATATTATGCCAGAAGACGTGTTCAGTTCAGTGTTCATCAGATAATTCAAACTTAATTCAAACATTGTTCGCTCAGGGTTCGTTCAAGCTCTGGTGACTGGTGACAGGCTCCACAGGCACAGAAATAAATCCACGGGGCTCCTCATGCCCAGTGCTGCCCTCTATCTCGCCGTCTCCCCGTCCACCGCCCGTAGTTCCTCAGCTGACCGCTAGGCGTCGCTCGCACCTGTTCAGGCTGGTCGGATGGGAAGCCTTGCTGTCGTAAGCCGAGGACGCGCGGCCAGAGTCCAGGCTGGAGGTGCTGTTACGGCAGCCGAAACTGCTGGTCGAGCTGCCCGCGCTGGATGGAGAGTCGCGGCCCGGACTCTGCAAAAAGGAGAAAACGACCAATGTCAAAATGTGCGTAAATAAACAGCAAAGGAACTTAAGGTAGACGTAAAATCCTCGGTCTCTGATACAACTTCTCTCATGGATAGGTGTGTTTGCACTAGCGAGAGAAAAAGCTGATAGTGACTCCGTTTACTTCAGTCCTTTGGTTGCCATGGCTACCAAGATAAAATGCTACGGAAATCGCATCGATGCACTGCTCCAGACAACGCGTTACCCGAGTAACCGATGGAAAACAGCGCGTTACCGGGACCCCTCATCTGGAAACTGACTGTCACCATGGCAACTGCAGACGCAAACATCCTAGATTCGTTACTCCATAGAACACGCCGCATCGCGTTGCGCCCAAAGCTCAATAGTACAGGCACAAGGATGAATAAAAACATGAAGAGTAGGCATCGCAAAATTCCCCTCATATAAGGCGTACGTACCTACCAGTGACACATACCTACAGTTAACGGACACATTTCATTGCTTGTATGCTATACCGCATCGTCTGTCCTTGGATAGCCATAGCTTGAATATATTACCCCATGTATTTTTTTTCTTTGAGGTAGGTAGACACCACACCAGTCATGGGCTCCATCACACCCAAACAGCCAAACCCACTCAGCAACAATATCACACAACACAAAACGTCCATCATTCGGGAGACACCTGTCCATAATCTGCCCGAAAATCTACCCAACAGTCATGACAACACGGGTATACTCTCCCAGTAACAGCTACATCAAAACCCTCTCACCCTCCCCCCGCCGACTACCCCCCGGTCAGGTAACGCGGTAAGAATGCCGTCTCAACGCGGCATCTCCGCAGACGCGCGGCGACAAATATGGTGACCATTAAAACAGCAGGCACGCTAAACACTAGGGTTTCTGCAGCAGCACGCCGAAGCCTTGCAGCGCCCGGCTTGATCGAGGCAGTCTGGTGCAGTACCTTTCATGGATTCATTGGAAGTTGGTTTGATATTAGTGAGCTATTAACGAGCCATAGTGTCTAGCCTAGGAGAGTTCATTATATTGTGTTATTAGTAAGGATCACATTTGGGTCACGATGCCTATTCCAAATATCTCCCAGCAATCGCAAACTATCGTGGTGCATTTTTCCGTCCTGACACTAATGAGACCCATGAAATCAGACACTAATCCCAGTTCTGCCCCGGGCGACCGCCCACGTGAAAATTCCGATAAACCAGTTTGGGTCTGCATCATACCATTGGAAGACCACCCACACCAGACTAAGAATTCTCACATCGAAAGAAGGAAACTCAGATGACGTCACTGAGTTAGTGACGTCATCATGGGATGAAACATCCCCGACCCGTAGCCAAAACGGCCTCTTGGTCCATTGGACATCCTGTACACATGAACTTGGCAGTCGGCCAGGTCATGACGTCATAACTCGGAGGAACAGCCTCATTGGAGCAGTGTTGTGGGAGGAGACAGCGGTAGTTGTCAGCGGCAAACTGGCAAAGGGCCAGCGCAGTCACAGGTAAGGAAGATGTGTCATAGATTCATGGGGCCGGGTACGCCACAGTTATACGGGAAAATCTAGGGACGATTGGGACACATTCAGGTTCGAAGGTGAAATTATTGAGCAGTCACACCCACCACACGCAATATCACAGTTAAATACCGAATAAAAGCAAACGACATCACTCCCATGAGCCAAAGAACAGTTTGCGACACGCTGAATTCACCGAACGTTCTATGAACCGAATGACAAACAACTGTCACTAGATCACCGAGAACTCCCTCGAAAGAAGCCACCTTTACGAGCAAATGATCTCATTGAGGAAAATCAATCGCGTGTTTCGTTCCAGTTTCGACCACCACCGCATCAACGATAGGCATATCTGGACGCTGCAACAAACTACAATGAAATTCCCGTCTTCTTTTTCTCAGAAATCACCCATGTCACTGCGGCCGTGTGCAGAAATCACCGTCAACTCTTGGTTCCGACAGTCTGACCTGCCGCGTGGCACCTGACCTTTGACCCCGAGTGGCCGCGGTCGGTACTTCAGATCCCCAGGTGCGCACAGCTGGTGGCGGGGCGGTGCACCGGCCCTCTGCTATCAAACCATACGGCACATCATCGGGGGACATCACAGGAGCCGCCGCCCGCCCGGCCAGCTGGCAGCTGCACCCCCTCCCCCCGCGAGGGAAGGGGGGTTTAAAGGGTCTGACAGCACCTCATCAGAGCCAAATCAAAGCCACCAGCGAAGGTTGAGCTAGTCTGAGCTGTATTGAGTAGGTGAGTTGACCCACAGCGCGGGTAAGGGAGACCAACGGCAGGGCGCGGTCGTGAGTGGGTGGGAATGACTGACACTCTATTACCCACTCCCTCAAACACTCTCCTAGTCACTCCCTCTTCCATTCCCTACCCCACTCCCTCCCGAGACCAGGAGTGTCACGGTGACCCAGTCCGCGCCACTCCCTCTCACGAACCGACGGACCAACGGACGGTGACGCCTCACGAGCAGCAGTCTGCCGAGTCTCACTCCCAGTCACGACAGAAGACAGGCCGCCACCAGCTGCTGGCAAAGTGTCCGTATTTAGGCACACATCCCCTCTCGCGTGCCGTGATAGGGCCCAGAGGCGCTCCCTGACAGAAAACTGAGCCGAATCACGCACCGGCTACCAAATCGAACCGGTGCAGACTTCATGGGGTGTTCCAGTTCAGGACAGGTGCAGTCGCCCGTATCGACAGGCGCCGTTACTTAGCATTCAGCCGTATGGTCCCGGCGCTGGCTACTACAAGGTAAACAAGGATGCGGAGTAGAGCTGCGACTTTTCTCCGGAGACGAACCACAGAGCCGAGAGTGGCTGGATTTACAGTGCGGAATCTGAGAGCCGAGAGGTTCCAAAGCACACTTAGCTTGGGTCCAAATCCTGGCAGGTGGCCTCATGATGAGACTGATGTCTTGACTAGTTTCTTCAATAACGACGGTAACAAATTGGTGACAAGTTTGCATCTCCAGCTAACAGGATCCGCCTATAACAGGTTACGGTAGCAATGCCATCAGCTTTGCACATGTCCCTAACTGATGTACCCTGAAGACGTGTTGACATCACCACTACACTAAAAGGCCTGTGTTCATCGACGCCATACCTCCCGAAACAAGCACATCCGGAACTGCAGAAGGACCTCGGGTGACGGGGAACTAATGGGTGGACAGGTGACACGCGGGTGATATGGGTGACAGGTGATGTCATACGTGACAAGTGACGTGTCATCTGTGAGGACATCCGCAATGGGTGTGTGAATTTGAAATAAGCCGTGATCATGAGCGAGCATATTGGACATGTGGCTGCACTGTATTGCCCTTGACTTTGCAATACGCCATGTCGTTAAAATGGTGCAGCGCCACAGAATTTGCGGTATGTAGAGAAACCAATGACCCAGTCACAACGGCACTAATGTTAACACAGAAACGACTCTAAGCTGGAGATAGAATCAGCAGGGACAAGATGTTAGCCAAATGTCATCTCGACTAATCCAGCCCGTTTAGCACAACAGGATTCTGGTCTTGTCAACGGTCAGTTACGATTTCCAACTGACCAACGTAAAACTAGCACACTGCAAAAGCCGGGACGAACACTGCTGCGCCAACATAAATGTACAGCGGCAGTGAGTTCACAATGGTTTTAGTCACAAACAAGGAGCGTAAGCATTTGTTTACGAGGTTTAAATGGAGTTTATGGTCGGTTTTCCTCGAAAGGTGCGTCTTGGAACAAGCAGCTGTTAGCATTCCAGCATGATTGTCCTCATGGGATTCACTGCGACAATACGACGCTGTATGTTTCAGAGTAGCTAAGCCTGGCACAAACCCCGACCGCACCCTACACATTAACGTCAACAGACGCGCATTTACCGCGTCAGGGCCATCCTGACAACCCTCTACCCCAGTGCCCCACCCTCCCCGGCCGCCTGGCGTGTCCAGGACCGGTTATTGTCCAAACCGCCGTCCGTCCGAACTGTCCAGTGTCCGTCGCGGGTCCCGTAACGTGCAGCGACATCACACTGATGTGTATCTCACGTCAGTCTGGCGACAGGTCTGAGCTATCACCAACGTCACCAAATGTCACCAGGAGTTACCACTGTCACCACCAGCACCACAGTCGTCAGGCACTGCCTTCAGTAACTTATTGATCTTCATACTGTATTGATCTTCTCAACTATCCTCCCAGCCTTCGACCATACACCATGTTTTCATTTCGCAATTCGCCCGTCCCGTGAGAACGACCAAACTCTTCCGCTTCCGTTCGAGTGTTCTGCTCAAGAGCCGCCGCCACAGCGCCGCCGATATCCTTCCAAACATTTCCTCTGTCGTCTGAAGTCTCCTTCCCACGGCGTACCACTTCAAACACTTGAGCGAACCGATCCAATTCGTCGACCTACGGCGCTGGGGCGGCCGTCAACCCCGCATTCCAGGCTCAGACAATGATGGGTGACTTGACGCTCTCGCCTCTGAGCAGCCGTCGCCTGTCAGTCTGTCCTGTCTTGTCCCGTCAGTGCAGTCAATTCCTGTCCGTTCCATTCTTCGACAGTACCCAACGTCGTTCACTCCGCCAACGTCCCATCCCAACCCACCACCCCACCGGCACCCCACCGCTGTCCATCCCATCTCAACACAGGTCCTTCACCTCCCCTTCACCGTCCCATCATCAGCATCCCACTCCCATCACCACCCCGTCAGCGTCCCGTCACCACCCGTCAGAAACCCGTCAGTCACCACCTCTCCGTACGCAAACACTCATTATCCACCGTATGCGTTTCTGGGCCACGGCACGGCCAACTCGGCGGGGCGGATCTTCGCCACGCCATTGTCAGAATGTCTGCGCTACCGCGCTGACGAGACGACACCGATACCCGTTACCCATTGACAGATCCGCGGAGACGGGCGGGAGGTATTGTCCCGGCAGGAAGCTGACAAGAGACCCAGCATGGTGGCAGGAGTATCTGTCACATCGCAATAG